CAAACAACTGATAAACTATTCATGAAATACTAAAACAAATTTAACATCCGGTTTGGTGAAAAGAGGGATTTCTTGCAAATTATAAATATGGATAACATTATCGTAATTGTATGCGTCAGAAGAACTCAACTTTCTGGAAAATAGTTTATAGATTCATGAGTCATGGTACTTAATTTTCCGTGAAAGACTAAATTTGAAATACTGCTAAGTGATTTTCTTCGCCGGGAACCTGAGAGTTAGCATTTGGAGTTATTAGAGAGAACAAATTATTACAATGATTAGTTTCCAAAAGCTATGTTACTAATTAATTTATATGTTGTTGAAATGAAAAACAAGCTATTCAACAAAAACGAAGAGGAATGAAACCTGGTGCTGGTTGTTTTCAATAGTCCTTTCAGCTTTCATTTGTGATACACGTACAACAGTTTTCATTCTGGAGAGACGCCAATTGAATTCCATGAAGAACATATTATTGTAAAGTAACTTCTAAGGCAGAATAAATGGAGTTGAAATTCAGGTGATACCTTAGCAGTCTCATAACCAAAGGATGAAATGTGGTTTTCAATAGTCTTCTCTCGGGAAGAAGTGAGCAAGCATTCAGCTTCTCATCACTCTAATCAGTGCTCTCTTTCAATGCAACCAAAGCTCCAAATCATCAGCCGAGTGTGAAGCTTAGTTCTTCACTACCTACCTCATAAAGATGTGTGTACTCTAGTTGGCATGCTCTGATCTGAGTGTGGGCAGAGCACTCAGCTCCTGCCAAGAACCTGAAACTGCTTGATTACACAACATAACACAGGAAGAAAACCCTGAATTGACAAAATGTAAAGGGATATGTTCATGTGCTGTGAGTGATTAGGCATATGGTGATGGGTCCACAAGCTCAAATTCTATGAAAGAATCACTAGTAAGGATACCTCCAGCTTGGCCATATGAAAATTCAGTCTCCATATACCAAATGCACAAAGCTTCTATTGTCGTTCAAAACTTAGAATTGAATGACAATGGCTTGCAAGGCAGACCTGGCATAGTTTTTTCCATTGAGCTATTTCCAGTGCATGATAAGCCTATTAGAGAGGACAGGCTCATTTTTCCCTCATTAACCAATTTTGGTATAGATGAAATGCCATGTCATGCTCTCCCAAGTGGCAGTACTTCTTGATAAGTATCTTACATGGAACATGATCAATTTGTGAACCAGATCTTCGCATCTTGGTCGAAAGCTTTTCTGCCTCCTTCACATTCCCTCTCATACAGTATCCTCTAATTAGTTCAGTGTAAGTAATTATATCTGGTTCAATTCCTTTTCTCAGCATTTCATCATATAAGTCAAGTGCAAAAGCAATATGTCCTGAGATACACGCAGCACTGATCAACATGTTGTAGGTAACTAAATCTGGGAAAAGACCATTTAAAAGCATCTCCTTTTTAAGAGAATATGCCCTGACATTGTTTCCACCCTTTATTTGTGCAAGAATCAATGCATTAAAAGTAAATACATTTGGTGCAACACCGAGTGATAGCATATGATTATTCACAGAAAGTGCATTACCAAGATCCCCACATCTTCCATAACCATCAATTATGAGGTTCCATATAAGAGGCTCTGGCATCAGTGACTTCTCTAACAGACAGTTAAGAAATTCAATAGCTTTCACAAGATCTCCACGAAAGCAGAGACCTTGAATAATCATTTTGTAAGATATCTTATCTGGAGCAACTCCCATTTTTAACATAACATCATGGATGTGGCAAGCCTCCTCAACTTTTCCTTCTTTGCAAAGTGCACTTATAAGAGTATTAAAAGTGAAACAATCAGGAATGAAACCTCTTTTAAGTATTTCAGCAAAGTTTCCATAAGCAACATTGATGTGCTGACCCAAACATAATCCATGGATAAGGACATTATAGGCAACCAGATCAATTTGAATATTCTTGTGAAGCATCTGATCCCAAAAACCAAGAGCTTGAACTGTGTCCCCACTCCTAAAATAACAATCCATAAGTATAGTTGAAGTAATTAAATCTGAATTTGTCTTTTCCTTGTCATCACTTAGTGTTTCACAGAGAAGCTTCTTAGCATCATCCACAAGACCTTTCTTGCACAGCGCATGCACAAGTGTGTTACACGTAACTCTATTTGGTCTAATTCCATCAGTAGCCATAGTGGAGAAAAGATAAAGAGCTTTATCCACATTATTTTTAAGGCAGTGAGCCTTGATAAAAGTGTTATAGGTCACCAAGTTTGGGGGTGGACCCATTTCTAACATCTCTCTAATAAGACAATCTGGCCTCTCCATGTCACGTATTTTGCACAGCCCATTAAGAAGAAGATTGTGTGCAAAAACATCTAGAACAGCTCCTTTCTGTATCAGTTTCCTCCTCAACCATAGAGCTGTTTTCCATTTTCCCTCCGAACACAAACACCCAAATAAGGTTGCATGTCTAGAATTAACAGCTTCTAGGGTGCAACTGTCAAAACCCACATTTTCTAAAGGTATGCTTTCCCTGCAAAAACTCATATTTATAAATGAAAATTAATTAAATAATTTTCCGAGTCCTTCCATTGTATAGGGCGGTGGAAGCCTCCTACTTCATATTTTAGAAGCAAAAAGTTCAACATTTCTCAGTATTCAACATCAAAAACTGACCTCATATTTTTCAACCGCTCCAAACTATCCTTCAGCATTGAATCCAATACATTGAACACTGCCTCTGGATCACCTTTGTCATCACAATCCTTCTTTCTTGAAAACCAATCATGAGTTCTCATTTAATAGTGATCACCAACGTTCTTCACAAGCTCTCCAATAGCTGTAAGTGGACCCTCATCCCTACCAGTGCATCCATATTTCCACATCCACAAATTATAGAATAAAAACCAACAAGAAGCCTAATGCATTAAAGCAAAGTGTAAGACTGCAAACAAAGAAAGTTTACTTCCAATCTAACTTAACAAAACCCGTGTTGCCCAATACACTACTCTTTACATCCCTTTGTGCATACAGTTCAGAAGTGGAACAGGTATAATGTCATCAGATTTTTCAACTAACATCCAGGAAACATCTCTGTTCACCACAAAGTAATTAGAAATAAACTTCCAATTTAAAATTTTCTTTTCTCCTCAGTTCTCAGCATTTTCTCGGCAATCAAACAGAGACTTAATCAAATTACAATAAGTAAAATTTTCATCCAGAAATGTATTACGTTTATCTATCATGGAATTCGCAAGCTATTGAAAAGATCGAAAACAAAAACCGAATCTCAAATTCTTCATCATTTACCTTACACAAGGATCTACGTTGGATTCACAGCAGAAAATGCTGGAAAAGATCTGAGTAACACTTAGCTTGATGGAATCGATCGTTTGATTAAAAAACCGAAGAAAAACAATATGTGAAGATGACGGTAATTCACCACAAGCAGTTGCCAACTGAAAAACTTCGAAACTCAGTTAGTGATATATGCGACCTGATGAATAGCAGGAGATTTTCCGAGAAAACAAAGGAAAGTTACTGGAAAACTCACGGCCATTAGAAGAAATTCGTCGGAAAGAATGGAATCTCGACGGCTCCTAGTCGCCCGAGACAGTACAGTATAGGCGCTAAAATGAAACTAGGATTGTAGTTCTTCGCTCTGTGTTAATGGACCTCTTAAGCACGATTGACGTATGGGCCTCCTCGAACTTCAACAAATCTGTCAGCCAGCACAATGTCTAAATGCTACAGTCTTGGCCCAAGTTGAGAGCTCGTTAGTCGAAATTTCCTCCCTTTCATTAAACAAAACAAAACCCTTTTTTACAACAGTAAGACAAGGCGAGGGAAATTTCACTTGCATTTGGTTTACAAATTTGCCAAATTGACAAAATCATATTGGCTTTTGAACTTTGGCTGTCAAAATATGTGCACAGATTCTGTTACAAATAAAGATGTAAACTTTACATTTTTTTTTATTTAAAAATGTTAATTTTGTTAATTTTTAAATAAATATATTAATTTTTAATTTTTTTTATTTAAAAATATCAACTTTCATCATTTCAATTAAAAAAATTATTTTTTATATTAGTATTATCATCTAATTAATCTTTAAATAAAAAAATTAAAAGTTAATATATTTAAATAAAAAAAATTAAAAATTGATATTTTTAAATAAAAAAATTAAAAATTAACATTTTTATTTAAAAACTAAAAAAAGTTAACATTCTTGAATAAACAAAAACCTAAAGTTTGCATCCTTATTTATCCCTTTTCTCCACATAATCTCTGCTAGAAAGGATTTTAGAAGAAGCATGCCTTCACATAGGACAAAAGTGTTGATTCTGTATAATGATATATTTGCATAATCACAAATTTATATTTATGTATGTAAAAGAACCTCCAGAACCCTTCCCCAGCCTGATCTTCTCGTCTATGTATGTAATCTGCAGCTTGACCTCACTTGCACCACCACATCGTAATTCCAGTGATCCTACCTTAAGTTCAGGCGCCCTAAACATCACTTGAATCCATTTATCATCCAACACCTTCAGTTTTCCTGTCTAACACATAAACATGCACACATCAACAATCACATAGCTTAATCTGAGCTTCCAAGATTAAAAACACCATGACCAAGAAGGTGAGGAACTACCAAACTAGAATGTGAACTCGATATAAAGAGCACCCATGAAAAGATGAGACTACCTTTTAATGAAACCTCTCCATCAAGAAACCCCAAAGCAGAAAAGGAGACCTCGTTCCTTACAATGTCAGGAGATTCAACCACCTGAACCGTTTCCTTCGTTCGAAACACAAGGCGACCGAGTGCACTCCTGTAGCCACCACCAGGCGACGTAGGCCTCGAGCAGTAAACCACATCCCATTCTGCAAAGGAAAATCCAGTTAATCAATTGACCCCCTGAAATCTTAAAGTGTTACCTTTATAAGTTTGAACTTCTGAATCCTGGTTTCTTTGTTCCAAACTTAACCCAAAATGTACCCAACAAATTCCACAAGATTCAGGAGATTGAATAATGTATAAAACGCATTTGATTTTATTTTACCTCCAAAGATAAGAGGGTTTTTAACTGGTTCATCAACACAATACTTCTGTAGTTCCTGAGTTACTTCGGCTACCTCTTTGTGTTCTTCTTTTGTTTATGAAACTCCTCCATCTGTTTGTGTCACCTGATTCAGAGTTTCCATCAAATTCAAAAGACCACAAAAAAAAAAAAAAAGCCCATATATTTGACAAAGCTCATTTTTACAAAACGGAGTACTCTGCTAAAGTAAGTACCATAATCTGTTAAACGAAAGCAGAGTACTCTGTTGTTTTAAAATTAGGATAAAATCCTTCAGAACGGAGTAATTGAAAACCGATCAAACCTTGGAGATGATGGAAGCGACGAGATCATCGGGACCGGTTCGCAACCCTGCGTTTGAGATGGAGAGCGAACCATAAGCGATCTTCAACGTTCTGTTTCCTCCATATCTGGGAGCAATGGAAGCTTACAATGGCAGACTGAAGGGTTTTAGTGTAAAGATTGCGGCGTTTGGTTTGGTAAACGGAGACGAGAGAGTAAAAGAAGACGATGCCATGGACGGCAGGGAAGGATAGAAATAGATAGCTATGGATGTTGCAGGTGAAATTTTATCAGGTGATTGGATGAATGGTGACACGTAGGCAAAGATATCTAACGAGGACCCACCACCATACCAATAACTGAATCCCGTGCTGCCACATAATTAGGT